AAGAAAGAAAGAAAGAAAGAAAGAAAGAAAGAAAGAAAGAAAGAAAGAAAGAAAGAAAGAAAGAAAGAAAGAAAGAAAGAAAGAGGGGCTGGGAAGGTGGCTCAGTGGTAGAGCACTTGCCTTACATGCATGAGGCCCTGGGTTCGATTCCTCAGACCACATAACCAAAAAAAAGAAAAAAGCCAGAAGTGGCGCTGGTAGAGCGCTAGCCTTGAGTTGAAGAGCTGAGGGACAGAGACTAGGCCTGGAGTTCAGGCCCCATGACCGGACCCCCCCCCCAAAAAAAAAAGAAAGAAAGAAAAAAGATAAAGAAGAGAGAAAAGAAAAGAGAGGGAGGGAAGGAAGGAAATAAGGGAAAGGAAGAAAGACGGCTAGAAATATTTTCACTGATACTGTCTTTGTTGGAGGGAAGAAGGCAATGAAAGTGTTTTCTCATTTTTCTAGGGGAGGACGAGGAGGAAACGAACGTGATCGTTCTCAGCTACCCTCAATACTGCCGGTACCGCTCTATGCTGAAGCGCATCCAAGATAAGCCATCTTCCATTTTAACGGACCAGTTCGCCTTGGCCCTGGGGGGTATCGCCGTGGTCAGCAGGAACCCCCAGATCCTGTACTGTCGAGACACCTTTGATCACCCCACTCTAATAGAAAATGAGAGTATATGCGATGAGTTTGGTAAGTCTTTGTTCCTATGTGAAACTTGTGCATCTGAACCGTTGTTTTTCAGTTCTTGTGAAGAGCAGTGATGGAGAACGGGGCTCATTTTCACAACCCCATGTGCTACAGCACCCCTCCCATCCCTGACCTGATTGCAGCGTAGCCTTCTTGCCAGCCTCCATTCACCATGGGTAAAAGATTATTATTTAGAATTTGTTGTTTGATATAGTCTGAAGTCGCCTGGTCAACCTTGAAATTGGACGGGAAGCATTCATGTTTTTCCTTAAAGAGCTTAGGCTATATGAATGATTATTTTTTTTAAAAAACTAACTCTTTTATAAGGTGCTGTAAAAATGCTCAAATTATAATCACTTGGGCACCATAATGTGGATAGATGGATGGTGGGTGACTGGATGATGATGGATGGGTAGATGGATACATGATAGAACTTTCTTCATATATACATATTTACACTCATACTTGTAATCAAATTTACACAATGCCCACAAAATGTGTATGTGTGCACACATATCTTCATCTACATCTCTATCTAGCTGGCTTGTCACATGTCACTCTACACCAAAGGCCTGGGGCAACAAAGATACCACATCTCAGTTTGGGAAACCTTGCATGGTTGCAGTAACTGATGAGGAGCAAGTCCAGACAGCTTCTCTCACATCTTCATTTCTCATCCTTTTGTTAAAGAGATTGGATTATACCAGAGGTTCTTCACAATCAGAACTCTTCTATATACAGAGGTTTACACAGCCCCCCACCCTTATGCTGCTCCTTCTCTGGGAGTGGCTGCCATATATATATATATATATATATATATATATATATATATATATATATATATATATAGGATGATAGATCCTTGTGGAATCCCTAATAGACCTGGGTAGAGATAATCTTAGGTAGAACATCCAGCATAGCCTCCCTCTGAGCTAGACCATTTCCCTGATGCTATTGGCTTCTGTTTCCCCAGCAATCCCCAGTTTGTAGATTATCCAAACTCAAATTATTCTGCTCAGTTGTTATAGATCTCAATGCGGTTCAGAGAATCTACTGTAGACTCTCTGATTTCATTTGTCATGACTCCAGGAACCCAGTTAGAGGGACTTAGTAAGTACATGTGTTTGTACAGGAGAAGCCAGGATAAAAGGATGAGGTAGGATGATCTAGAAGGGGGAAAGCAGAAGTATATATATATATATATTTCAACTCATCATAGTCCAAGGGTCATGACTTTTTTATGTAAATTGTTTTTTCAGATTTTTTAAAACAACTCTGACTTATTAAATGGCTCAATTCAAGAGGGTAATCATGTGTGTACAAGTATGTTTTCCTTCTTTAAAGTAATGCCTATTGCCATCTTTTTAATATTCACATAATTTTTATTTAAGCCAAACAGATGTATCTACTATATTTTAAAATATCCACTCCTTTTAAGTCACCACTTAAAAATGTCCCCCTTTTCAGTGTTTGAGAAGTTTTCTTCTTTATCCCCTACGCCCAAATCCTGTGTTCTGTTTGTCTCTCAAGAGATCTCTAAATTCCTGACAGGAATAAAGCTGAAAGAAAGTGCTCCCTCTCTCTCTCCCTCTCTCTCTCTCTCTCTCTCTGTCTCTGTCTCTCTCTCTCTCTCTCTCTCTCTCCTATAAGAGTATTCAGAATTAGAATTTCACAATGTCATATAATGAAAAAAATTTTAACCTTTTGGCTAATTTAAGAGTTATTAGTCATTGAGTTGCAAAGCTGTTACATCTAGAATTGGTAATAGAAAGAGGTTCCAATTCAACAGCAATCATAATAGCTGTTAAGAGTTACTAAATTAGTTTTAAATGTTCTCACAAACACAAGCATCTGACTTTTGAATGTTTTCCTGAACTTTCTTCTGGTGTAGTTAATTTTAATACTGTCTTTCTTCTTCAGCCTCTTCAAGTGGAAGTTGTTTGGGAAGTTCCTGGAAGAACTTCTAGAGGCTAGCTTAATTTTTAAAGGTTTTTTCAAGGTTCAGTTTGTGCTTCAAATAGTTTGTGCTTCTTGAAGTAGTTCACATAGCAATAATGACTTATTTCCAGTCCGTCTATGGCCGTCCAACATGCTTTCCCCATCTCCCACTGTCAGTCCAGCATCTAAAATTCCAGAAAACACTCTTTTCAACCTCCAACTGGTTGTATTTGGAAATGACATGCTTTTAAAGTATTTGTTAAAAAATGTGGCATTGGGTTTCTCCAACCAACTAACAGTTGGTGGAAGAACATAAATTTAATTAGTGACTAGCATTAAACAAATGTTCCTAATATTAAACACTGCCAGATGACTGAAACACTTCTGTCAGATTACTGAGAGTGCCAGGGGGCCCACAGATGAATTTTCTACACAGTATATATTCTGTGCTGCACGTTTGGTGACTTCAGTAATTGGTCAAATGTAATTTAGGTAACAGTATGGCTAGGCTGTAAAAATCAAATTTTATTGGCCATATCACCAGGTGGATGAATGGCAGAACTGATGGCAAAGACTTTATAGCATTTAGCAGCTACACCTTTGACACACGAAATTCATAAATTGCCATAAAATACCTCCAAGGTCCTTTTCAAAAAAGGACAGTGTCTGTTTGCTTATGCTTGAATAATGTTTATTTTATTAACTAATATAGCTTTTGCTTTCTTCTTTGAAATGGCATTATGGAGAGGGACTGAGAGAGAAGTGCATAAAAGATAAAAAAAATTTAAAAATAACCCTTGATTATTTGGGAAGATTTAAGGTCACATTTAGGAAGAAAGGATTATTGCACCTGAAAGGTTAAATCATGTATTGTAAGAACATCACTTAAGTGGGGATCTGGTGAGTGGCACAGAAAGCCCGTGGAATAGAAGTAATTTAGCAATGCAATTGAGGTTTCTGGAGATGGCAGTCAGGGTGAAGGGCCATGAAAATTTTCACAGGAAGGGAGAGCTCAGACTGGTTTTGTTTATTTTATGAGGTACTGAGGTTTGAACGCAGGGTCTTGCACTTGCTAAGCAGATACCCCATGGCTAAGCCATGCCCCAGCTCTTTTCACACTGGTTCTTTTGAGATAGGGTCTCTCTCTCTCTCTCTGTCTCTCTCTCTGTCTCTCTCTATCTATCTTATGCACACACACACACACACACACACACACACACACACACACACACCTTCAACCCATATCTGGACTATAATACCATATCTAGAATGATAGGTACATGCCATTATGCTCAGTTTTGTTTGATTTTTTAACTTTTTGCCTAGTGTGGTCTTGGCACCATGATCCTTCTGATCTCAGCTCAGTCTTTCCTGGAAATGACAAGGATACTTCACCTCTCCCAACTATCATTTGAAAAGGCGTCTGGCAAACGTTTTGCTCAAACTGATCTTGATTCTTTTCTTTTGGTCTGAGACTAGGACTCAAACTCAGCTCTTAATACCTTTTTCTCATTTGCTAGTGTTCTACCAACCAAGCCACATGCCTCCAACCTCTGGTCTTGACTCTTGATCATCCTGATTTCAGCTTTCCAACTAGCTAGATTACATGCACGAAACACTGTTCCGAGAGAAAGAGAGAGAGACAGAGAGAGAGACAGAGAGAGAGAGACAGAGAGAGAGAATATACCAGAATTAGGGATAACACTCAGAGCCTCATGCTTGTTCAGCTAGTACGCTACCTCTTAAGCCAAACTTCTAGCCCAGTTTTTTTTGTAGTTAAAATTGGAGTCTCTCTCAGACATTTCTACCCACACTAGCTTCAAATAGCAATCCCTGGAATCTCAGCCTCCTGAGTAGCTAGGATTATATATGTGAACCACCCGTGCCTAAAGATAGGCATGAGGGTTTGGGAAATCTGTTGGAAGTGTTGATTCTTAAAACCTATGTCTTAACTCTCAGCATTGCAACTGGTTGTATTCATCCTGGTTCAACTATTGATCTCTCTTGGGTGTGTTATGCCTTGGGTCAACTTCACTTAAAGGTTTGTAAATGGTCTAATATCCTCCCTACCAGTGAGTCGTGGATGTGAGTCAGTCGACCAGGCCCAGGGAAGACCCAGGCTTTTGAATGTGGAACAAGCTTTCTCTCTTGAATAGGAATGATTCCACATTTTCTTCCAGTGACATCTCTATAGCTTACTTTCATTCCCAGAATCCATCCCTGGAAGAGATTTTCCTC